TTTTTTTTTTTTTTTTTTTTAAATAAAGTCAGACACTTGAGTCCGGGAGCCTGAGGTTGCAGGGAGGCAGAGGTTGCAGCGAGCCAAGATCCTGCCACTACACTCCAGCCTGGGTGACAGAGTAAGACTCTGTCCCAAATAACTTAAAACAGGTTTAAAACACATGGAATATAGGATATTTGTTTTTAAAGCTATGTGAGAAATCATTTAAAAAAGGAGAAAGACTGTGCCAGAAATTTGGAATAAGATAGTAATAATAATTGAGCAGTTTTAGTTCCTAGCTATATTCCTGGATACCGTAAGAGGGGTCAGGGGAGTGAGGGTTATACAGTTTTTATTATTAAAGGACAAAAACTCATCTGAAGAGAGAGGCTTGTTGATTTGCAATTCTAGGTTGACTTTGGCACTTTAATCTTCAAAAAAGGTACAAAGAATACTATAGTGAACAATCTATTTAACTCTTTAATTGTTTTTGTAAAGATACAATTACGTTTTAAAAATATCACTCCTTCATAAAAGCAAGGTCTTGACATTAAATGGTCACTGCTGAAGGCATTTCTGTAGGCTGCCTACTTGCTGTGCTGTGGTTTAGGTAAATAGCTTCCTGGAGACCAAATTTTAAATAGTTAATAAAGTTTAGGGAAACTAAATGAATGTGAGACTACTTGTCCCTTAGCCCGTGCTGCTCAAACATATTATTTCCACTTCATTTTTGGCAGGACCAGAGTGACAACTGCTTGAAGGCCTCATAGTCAGGGGTCATTGATCCAGGATGCTCCATTATTTTTATATTGGAGGTTCCCAGGAACTGTAAAGGACTTTCATTTAAAGTACGTATTTCAGGGTCCAACCATGAGAGATTCTGACTTAGTTCATCTGGAAGGGGGCCCAGAAATCTGATTTCAACAAGCCTTCCAAGTGACCTTGAGGCAGGTGGTACTCAGGTCACACTTAGAGAAACCCTGTCGGAGGTCAGATGAGTTGATAGGAAAGTTATGAGAACTGAGGAGTGTTACTTGTATTTTAGCTTCTGAATAGAGTAGAGCAGAGGGTTCCCTATGGTTCCACCACAATATTTCTCAGAAGAGCCTTTCATCTGCTTAAGTGTTTTGTTTGGACAAATTCTAGGATCGCAAAAAGCATGAAAAAAAATGTTTTGCCTTAAAATGTATTGTCAGTGTCCTCATTCAGACTGCCATGACAAAATATCATAGAATGGGTGACTAAAAAAACAAACAAACAAAAAAAACCCAGAAATTTATTTTCTTCCAGTTCTGGAGACTGGAAGTCTGAGATCGGGGTGCCAGCATGTTCGGTTTTTGGAGAGGTACCTTGTAGGTGGCCACCTTCTCGATGTTTCCTTACATAGGAGGTAGCAGGGTGAGGGGAGCAAGCCCTTTTGTCCTATAAAGGCACTAATCCCATCATCAGAGCCCCATCTTTATGATCCTATGATTTCATAATAATCTCCCAAAGGCTTTATCTCCAAATACTATCACATTAAGGGTTAGGGCTTCAACATACGAATTTTGTGGGGACACAATTTGGCAGTTGGATATTACTAGCTATCTGTATTAGTCAAAAGATGCTTAAACATGGCCCTCATAGATCTGCGGGTCAGTGGTACTCCAATGCTTTTACTAGAAAGACGTCCCTGCAGAATGTACTGTCACAGTGTTGAATGACCTATTGGATGAAGATCAGAGGGTAGGAAATTCCTGGCAAAATAATTTTAGTGTTAACATTGCTAGAGTTAAACATTCTGTCCCATTCACCCACATTCCTTCCGTATTTTTCATGCTAGAAGAGATACATTGTCAAGGCCAGCTGAGATTATGTTTATGTATTGTGGATGATGTGAATATTGACTCGTTCCATCAGTTCAGACTAATGAAATTTATCTTAGTACTATAAGGAAAGTTAACAAAAAGACACTTCGATTTGTGAATTTACCATGAGTGACATTGTCAGCTCTTTTATTTTGATAAAACAGTGTAATTTGTTCTAATTGAGATATCTGACTTCTCAGTGTCAGAAGTTTTTAAAGACAAAATAAAAATGACATGTGATTTGTTCTAAAATCAGACATTTCAGTTCAAATACATAGTATGGAGGTATAGCTTCTGAAGGAATAAGATAGTATTAAGAAAAAACCTAAAATACTAAGAAATATAAAGGAAAAATTCATGAAAGAATGATGTCCTAATATTCTCAACCCAGTGTCTTTTGGGAGAAATAATAGGATTTTTATAAGTGATTTTCCCTGTAGGTAGCAATCATTAAATTAAAAGCCTTTCCACCAAGATGTCACACTTTAATAAGGGTTTATTTTCCCAAAGATAACGCCTCTGAGTATTGAAATTCTGACATATATACTCCGCATATATTTCCTCTCATCAATACATAATATTTTATACAACATGGAATTTCTTGTCATTTGAAGAATATCAATTCATAGATTAATAATAAAAATATTGACCCAATGAAGTCAGTATCACTAATAGTCATAAAATATACTTATTGCTATCATATTTACAAGATTTGTTTAAAATCCTTGTCATAGAGTTTGGTCTTGAGACAAAGTTCTCTTCTATGCAGTTCTTGTCCACCTAAAAGTCATTATTATACCAACACACACACACACCCCCCACACATGTCCCCCAACTCAGACTTGCACCCTGCCCTTGTCTCCCACACATACCACACATCATACACTCTACTCCACACCCTCCCCTACACATCATACCCTACTCATAACAGCCAAATACAGGACATTTATTTCACTTCAGAAAGATTATAATGTAATGATTTCTAATAAATACTTATATTTTAACATTTTTGTCAACTAAGGGATTAAAAAATAAAAATTTTAATAAATAAAAATGTAAAACATTAATTTTATGTTTAATAAAGAGATTCACACTGTGGTTAAAACTATTCAAAATATGCAAGAGGGTATAAGTGAAAAGTGAAAGTCCCCCTTCCTCTATGACTTCTTAGTCCCAGCCCAGATATGACTTCAAAAGCTTCATGTGTTGATTTCTAGAAATTGCTACAAATACATATGTGTATATAAAACAAATATGTTTATTTAATTTTTAAAAGTTGATTAGTTGACACTAGTCGAGCCATTAGAATTGGGTGCCAGTCACAGCACTGTGTCCTTGCATAAGTCAACAAGCCTCTATGGGGACCCCTTTAGTTGCCATACCTCTATAGAGTCAGGCTTGCCCAGCCACATTTGCCTTAGTCCCTATCCGGGAGACCTTCTGCCAGTGGCTTCTGTGCTCCTCTCTCTGTTTGGGGCCCTCAGAGCTGAAAACGGAGTTGGCACTGGGCTGCCTCTGATTCCTCTTGCCAGGGAAGCTTCCCAATTTAGTCATCCACCCCAGGCACCCAGGGAGGCCGGTATCCTCTCTAGTTAATTTTCAACTTCTGACTCCACGAATACAGTTTTTTCAATGGTATGAGGTATTTCTGGAATATATATTCTAGAAATAAAGCATTTTCTTTTCTAGCCATTCACTTTTAACTTTGACTTATTTGCTTCAAAAGTCAGTATTGTGGAAAAAGCTTTATCTGGTACTTTTTGGTACAATTCATCCCACCAAAAATCACAGATTTTTAAAAGGAAGTTATCTTGAATGTTGGAACTGGGTAAGGTAAGGTAGAGATTTATACAATATTTGTGCAATATTTTAATAGCCACCAAAATATTGCACAGACTATTGAAAGATTATAGATAGTCACAATGTTAAAAGTGTTTATTTAGCATTATTTTTCAGAGACCCTGAATTTCTGAAAAAGCTTTTTATTCATGAGGAAAATCTGGAGAACTTTATAAAATTCGATTTTATACCTGGCATAAGGATGATGCACAAGGAAATGAAATTATTTACCTAGCATCACGGAAATTAAGATGTGAACTCAAATCACTGTACACATCAATTGACATAACTTTTATAATGCAGCTAAATAAATCTCAACTAATGTGGTTGTGTTAGGATTTCAGTGCACATTGATCTGGATGTACAAATAGTGCCCAGCTGCTTTACTCACAAAGTAATTCTAGTGATTTTTAAACCATAATCAAACCTTATCCTTTCAGTTCCAAGAGGCAAATATGTAATACTAGTAATTAAATAATTCTCATTACAAAGGCACAGTTGTTTTCAATAAAATCAATCTAGGTTGATGCTCAAATTTTTAAATTGCTAAATGTTGTCTGCATCTTTGAAAAGATAAATCCTGTAACTCGGGGATGGGTGAATCCCCTTAAGAGAAATGCATAAGGTGGAGGGTGTGGGGGCGAGTGGCACGTATCTGTAGTCCTAGCTACTTGGGAGGCGGAGGCGGAGGATTGCTTGAGCCTAAGAGTTCAGGGCTGCAGCTGTGATCTTGCCACTGCACTCTAGCTTGGGCCACAGAGACCCTGTCTCTAAAAAAATATTTAAATAAACAAAAATTTTAAAGAGAAAAAGATGAAACTAAGATCCTGCAAGATGATACTTGGCCTAAACCCTGTGCTTTTTTAAGGGGCTGAGGGTCAATGATTTTATTTAGTTAAAAGGATGCAATGACTTGGCAGGAGTGTTTTGGTCTCATTCTTGAAAAAATTAACTTCCCTTAGCCTTCAAGCCTAGTACTTTAATGCCAAGTACCTGCAAGCCTCAATGTCCAAGACTTTTAAGAGCAGAAGGTATGATGAGTTACATCTTTACTAGGGTCACAAGGAAGGCATGGGTATATGGAAATTTGTATTATTCCATCTGAATATCATGTTCTAGAGAACAGGGGCATTTGTTCTGAAGGGCTACCGGCTCCCTTCTGGGATCTAGCAGCCAGGGTTAGATCACAGGTGTCACTTTCAGGCAAGTAGTTAGCAACGATATCGCTAGCAACTGAGCCGGCCCCCTGCAGACAGAGGTTTGCAGTGGGTACTGTGTATTACAGAAAGGGTCCTGACATGTGAAAGGAAGGAATATGCCCTAATATTCTACAGTTGTTTTATCATTGCTACTGATTAGGTCCATGGAGGGAAGCCCATCCCTGAGACGCATGACGGTGATGCGGGAGAAGGGCCGCCGCCAGGCTGTCAGGGGCCCGGCCTTCATGTTCAATGACCGGGGCACCAGCCTCACCGCCGAGGAGGAGCGCTTCCTCGACGCCGCCGAATACGGCAACATCCCAGTGGTGCGCAAAATGCTGGAGGAGTCCAAGACGCTGAACGTCAACTGCGTGGACTACATGGGCCAGAACGCGCTGCAGCTGGCTGTGGGCAACGAGCACCTGGAGGTGACCGAGCTGCTGCTCAAGAAGGAGAACCTGGCGCGCATTGGCGACGCCCTGCTGCTCGCCATCAGCAAGGGCTACGTGCGCATCGTAGAGGCCATCCTCAACCACCCTGGCTTCGCCGCCAGCAAGCGCCTCACCCTCAGCCCCTGCGAGCAGGAGCTGCAGGACGACGACTTCTACGCTTACGACGAGGACGGCACGCGCTTCTCGCCGGACATCACCCCCATCATCCTGGCGGCGCACTGCCAGAAATACGAAGTGGTACACATGCTGCTGATGAAGGGCGCCAGGATCGAGCGGCCGCACGACTATTTCTGCAAGTGCGGGGACTGCATGGAGAAGCAGAGGCACGACTCCTTCAGCCACTCGCGCTCGAGGATCAACGCCTATAAGGGGCTGGCCAGCCCGGCGTACCTCTCGTTGTCCAGCGAAGACCCAGTGCTCACAGCCCTAGAGCTCAGCAACGAGCTGGCCAAGCTGGCCAACATAGAGAAGGAGTTCAAGGTAAGCTTTGCGCTCTACCCCGGCTGCTCTGCGTGCTCACCCACTTCCCCACTGCTGCCTGGCCCGCTCTGCCACCGTTCGTTCCACATTCGGTTTTGCCCAGTGAATGTGAAATCACGAGGGACTGAGAGCATCATTCAGACCTCGTCTGATGTTTTCTTTCTCCCTCTCAATGATGGTGCTGTGACAAATTCGCTTTGGGGATCCAGTATTCTGGATCAGAGAGCTCTAATTATGGTGCCGCTCTGTGTTCTGGGTAAGCATTAAATAAAACTCAAGATTTCTCCCCTTTTTGCTAAAAGGAGGGTTTTGGTGTGACTTTTTGTCTTCCAAATCCTTCCTCCTGTTTTGTAGTTAGTTGTATGGTAGCACATAAGTAGTAATAGTTTGTTTTATTTCCCCTGAGGGAGTGTACCGTTTCTGGAGTTCCTGCAATACTAGGTCTGTGTTGGACTGGACAGAGCAAGCTCCCATTCCATCTCCACGATAGTGTTAGTTTTGAATGCACTGTTCATTGGCCCAAGTATTTGTGTATCCCTTTAGAATCAAAAGTCAAAAGACCAATAAAAAATACTATTAAAGTCATTTCACTGATATGACAAAATGCCTTTCCCTGAATTCCGCATATGTATATTCAGAATGGTGAGCCGCAGATGTCAGTTCAATCTAGAAATATGAGGACAGCAAAGTGATTTGCTTTAAGGGATTTTTTTAATGAGTGAACTTTTTTCCTGGACATTATTTTCAGTCAAGCAGTATTATTTATTTTTATAAAAATTATACATTAACGACAGGTCATTTTTATTTTTTGTTCAGTTGCTACCTCCTCCTATGCATTTTGATTGGTTCTGGCTACTAAATCTGGGTATTTCATAGTTCTGATCAATATCATTTAGACTGTTTTTGGCAGGTTCTTGTCTCCCATTTCCCATCTAAAAAGATGATTGTAGACATCAATTCCTTAAATTATTTTCTAGATGCTAAGTTAATCTTTTTAGTTGAGTGTTATGGTGTCAGATCACAGAAAAAGTGATTATTCTTTCACATCTGAATATAGTGTTTTATAGTTAGTGAGATTTACACAAATGCAACTAGCAATATAATTCAGGTTACAGAAAATATACTTTGTCCCAGTGTTGCAAGAAAATGGTGGGAAAGTGGTCCCATCCCTTTTCCATACACACAAAATTCCCTGGATATCCATCAATGCTCATTTTGTCCCAGTGGAGATCTGGACTTACTATAATTTTGTTAATCCATTAAAATTTTTTTCTGATGTAAAAGCTACACACATTTATTGTAAAAAATTTCCAAAAAAGGTAAAATACAAAGAAGAAAGTAAATGTTACCTTATATCTAATCCCTTTGAGGAGATTCATTATGTGGTATTTGAAAAGATTTATTTACTTGGCCCCCAAATGATTTTTTTTTTTAGATAGAACTCAGAGCAAGTTGGAAACTCCAAATTCTGTTTAGAGACAGTAGAAAAGCACGTAGGTAAAGCACTTTTAAATATCACTTTGTTATTTTGAAACAGTAATTAAAACATAATTCTAAACGTATTTATTTGCCACTGTTTCAAATGCCACACAAACCTTGTTTTTACACATTTTTCTTGATATACACTGAAAGTCTGCAAGAGATTCTATAAAAGGGAATATTTTCTAAGATCATGTTTTAATAATTTACTAAAGATGGTGATGTTTGCAATTCCACCCAGAGACGTCAGCTCAGTGCAACTATGGTAAGAGAATTTGTTATTCATAGTTTTACCCTGAAGCTGGCTAGATCCATATTGGTAATGCTTAGAATCTCTTTCATTGTAACTTAAAGAGTCACCTCTGATAACCTTTCAAGGGTGGGGAAATATCACAAATGAAGAGGCAAAAAGAGAGAAAACACAGTTGAATTCTAGAGAACATCTATAAAGCTGCCAAATATCTATAAGGATATGCAAAAATAATCTAAATCTCCCAGTTCTTTTTTCTAGATTATATGGAAAGTGCTTGTGTAGCAAGATAGCCCTCTCTGAGCCGAAATTAAGACAGTTCTTTAGAAATTATAGTCTCCGAGGACTTCACGTCTCTCTCCCCTAACTCAATGTGCCTTTTCTCTCTCATTTTTACCTGTCCTTGTTATTCCTTTCTTATCTGTCTTTATTTCACCTTTCTCCCCTCTTGTCCCATGTTCATGTCCATCTGTCAGGGCTTTAGACAGACAGAGAAAATAGTGCTTCCATAGCACTGACCCAGAGACTCTGAGCTCTGAAAAGGCAGTGAAAATGAAGCTCATTTCTGAGGCAAGCAGGTAACCTAATTTGCCCTATTCCATGGTGTTCGCTATATTCTTCCCATGGGGACTTTGAGCTCAAAGTGTTAGCCTTGAAATAAAAAAATAGTTCTCTAGTGAAAAAGAGGTAATTTTTTTCCTTTTAAAACACCTATATTTATTTTATCTTATCAATGGCCCATAATATCTAGTATCTTACCCCTGAAATTGCCATCATTTAGGTGCTTCAGAGAAGATTCTCAGCCACTCTGCAGTTTTCACATTTCTTTGAGAAATGTAGTAGGCATGGTGCTGAAAACATGTGAAGGTCAATACCCTAAGAGGTCAAACATTCTAGGATACAGATTTAGATAAATTAGTGGAGGATAGCTCCGTGACAGGTTATTAAAGAAATATTTTGGATGTGCAAATGCCATTTGAAGCTATTCTGAGAAACAGAATATTGGAAGGATAGACTCTTGGTCTAATCCTCCAAAATGTCAGTGGCAAGGAAGCCAGTCATTTATTAAGCTGTGAGAACGCAAATTGAAATTTTCTAGTTCTGACTGAGTCATGACGCACCTTTTTTGTAAAAATAAGGAAGTGGGGAGAGGCGTTTGCTTCACCGTGCCTCAGTTTTCCTCTCCTTGAAGTAAAAAAACAATTTCACCTTATATCACACTACAGCTGTAAGGAAGAAAAAAAAATGAATATAAAAAGCAAGATGACATTTTATAGCAGGAAAATACTCTAGGAATCATCTTTAATTTTGCAAAAGAGAAAGCAAAGGCTATAGGCAACATTTCATATGCTAAGCCTAGATTTGAGTGTCTTGAGTCCCAGTCGTAGGTATTGTATCTAATATAATGTACCTGGTAATATCGAAGCACTTCTTAGCACCTAATTTGTACCAAACATGTTCTAAGCATTTAATCCTCATAGTACCAATATTGGGTAGGATTGATTATTCATGTCAGAGACGTAAAGTGAATTCCACAATATCACACAGCCAGTAGGTGGTAAAGCAGTATTTGAGCCCAGGAAGTCTGGCTTCAGACTCTATGCTTTTAATCACTATGATAACTTGCCTCTTTTGTTATTAGGGAAAGGGCCTGACAGAACCAAGCCTGTTAAGAGTTGAATTTCAGTTTTCCTCTTCAGGATAAAAAAGGATTAGAATGATAATTAAACCACATACATTAAAAGGAGTGTGCAGAACCTGTAGATATATTGTAATGAAGACTGAACTTCATTATTCTTCCTCTGGCTTGAGCGGATCCTTAGGGTTTTAAGTTCTGCTCTATAGGGTGTGCAGTAGGTCCACCTGCTAACTGTGGAGGGCTGTGGTAATGGATGAGTGGTTTATTAAAGACCATTATGCAAAAGTAACTTAAAAGAAAATTATTAGAAAATGTAGACCAGAAAATGGTCTGATCTGTGAAGTAACATGGTGGAATTACCATTCAATGCGGCCTCATGGTGGAATTAAGAGTCGATGTGGACATGATTGCTTTTGCAGCTGAAGAGAGGCTGTTCTTAGCTGGAGTTCTCCATCTTTCCCAGCGAGCTCTGCATAGGTTTAAAAAAAGATATCCAATTACTGTAACAAAAGAAATCACCATTATCTCCAGTTCTGATTATTTTCTGCACTCTGGCAACAGACTTCTTTAAGTGGGAAATGTTTAAATTGTTATAAAAACAAACAGTGCTGTCCTTGCAACATGTTTGATTATCAGTTTTTTGGATTATTTACTGATCTTTCAGTGGATGTGAAAAAAAGCTTTCCTTAAAACTAAACAGTTTGTAGACTATAATTTTATAGGTAATGAGTTATTATTTAGGTATTACTGCAGATGTGGGTACTATGTTTTCTTCAAAGCATGGAAAGTAGCCTCTTTCTATTTCTGATCAATGGAGAAATGACCACCCTATGTTGTACCAAATCTTACAGAACAGTCTGAACTGAAGAATAACATGAGGAAATTTCATCTAAAAAAATCGTATTAAAAGGGAAGCTTTATATGGAAATGGGCATGGATTTAATACTTCTTCTGGATGCTGTAATAAAATATTTCATTAGTCTTTCAGGAATGGAAAGCAGATGGATATTTAACTGACACTCTGCACAGAAACCAGAGACTGAACATTTTATTAATTTTATCAGTTGCATGGTACCAACTTGAATGGAAACTAAAGATTGAAGTTTTATTCATTTTATCTGTTCCCTTATGAGGGGAAAAGGATTAACTGTAACTGTTCTTTATCTGAATTTCTGATATCTGAAATGGAAACTATTCTAATCTGTGTAGCCTTTAAACAGTCTCTCTTCTTCTTGTTTATTTTAGCTGATGACGTGGTTTTGCCCATCAAATCACATTAATTATTTAAAGGAAAAAAATTGGAATTCTTCACGTCTTTTTTTTAAGTATGATTTTTGGAAGCCCAGTAATTCTACTGTGCCAAATATTACTTAGTTATATAGACACTTACAGTGTCTCAGGACATATTACAGTGGGGAATTCTGTTTTCCTCAAGTGTTCCACATTAGATTATTATCTGGTTAGCCTTCCTAATAGGCTAGAATTTTAGTGAAAGTCATAAAAGTGGAACTAGGGTTTCCAAAAATGAGACACTTGCTCAGGAGATGGTCGTTGACACCTTCATTAGAACAAACGGACTAGAAACAAAGCTCCATTCAGAAGGCAACAAGGAATGCTACCAACTGATTTACTTATAGTCGTCCACGGCAGTATATAAGTATGCAAATGAAATTAAAGATTCATGGATTATTTTTAGCAAGGTGTTAGTTCCAGTGGCCTGGAAATTTTTCTCTCAGGTACTGAATTCTGTAACCCTTGAGAATTCCATTACATACAATGATATATTTCTCTTCTTCTAGTTCTGCAGGGCACAATAATATGCCCTTCAGACAAACAAACAAACAAACAGAAAACCCTCTGTATACAGGTGGGTATCCATCTACCTCTCTACAGTTGTTATAAACCAGTTATTCTCAAACATAACATGTATCAGAATCATCTGGAGGGTGTGTGAAAGCACACACAGATTGCTGGGCCCTTCTTCAGTTTCTAAATCAGGACATGTGGGCTGGGGTCTGAGAATTTGCATTTCTAACACATACCCAGGTGCTGCTGATGCTGCTGTTCTGAGGACTACACTTTGAGAAGCAATGTCTCCAGTAAGGCAAGGGATAATGAACTGGACAAGTTATTTTTCACTGTCAACCTAAATAACGGAGAGCGAGGTTCTCTAAAAGAAAATGAGGCCGGGTGCAGTGACTCACGCCTGTAATCCCAGCACTTTGGGAGGCCCAGCTGGGCAGATCATTTGAGGTCAGGAGTTCAAGACCAGCCTGACCAATATGGTGAAACCCCATCTCTACTGAAAATACAAAAAATAGCTGGGTGTGGTGTCACCTGCCTGTAATCCCAGCTACTTGAGAGGTTGAGACAGGAGAATTGCTTGAACCTGGGAGGCGGAGGTTGCAGTGAGCCAAGATTGTGCCACTGCGCTCCAGCCTGGTGACAGAGCAAGACTCCATCTCAAAAAAAAAAAAAAATAGAAAATCATATTTATCTGGGAATGTAATATTGCAGTGGAAATACAAGTGACATGGTAAACTCTGTGTGTATTCAGGGAGGTAAAGAAAGACAAGTTTTTTAAAAGAAAAGTGAGGAGGGTTACACTCCAGGAACAATAACAAAGGCAGAGCTAGTCCAAAGTTGTACAGGCAGTTGCTGGGCAGACGTCCTCACAGAGGTATGTTTTGTGTAAGGTTGCGATGGCCTTTATGCAAGGTTATGGTTTTTGCACTCTCTTGTGATAGTTTTGTGTGTGAGAACCCTCCCTTCATGGCTTTCTCTGACCCTATTAGTCAGGGTTTTTTGTTTTGTGTTTTTTTTAACACAGTTGACTTAGTTTTGGCAACTTTCATATCACATATAGTTGATCTTCTATATCAAATTGCCATTTTAGAAAAATGGCCATTATAGAAAAATTTCCAATGTAGAAATGGTCTTGTTTTGACTTTACAAGAACTATTGTTTGTACAAAAGAGAGAAAACTCTTTGATCCTTTGGTCTTTCAGCATACAATTTTTTGAGTAAATGCTTTTTAAAATTTTTAATTGACAAATAATTATTGTATATATTTATGGGGTACCATGGGATGCTTCGATAGATGTATACAATGTGAAATGATTAAATCAAGCTAATTAACATATCTATCACCTCACATTACTTTTTGTGGTAGTGAGATATTTGAAATTTACTCATCAATTTTGAAGTATATAATATAGTATTAAAGCTATAGTCACTGTGCTGTACAGATAGATCTCAAAAACTTACTTCTCCTGTCTAAATGAAACTTTGTTCACTTTGACCAATATCTCCTCATTTCATCTCTACTTTACCCTGCCTCTTACTCCCACCCCCTGCCTCTGGTAGCCACTTTTCTATTGTCTGAGTTTGACTTTTTTAGATTCCACATGTAAGTGAGATTATTATCAAGCCATTTTCAGAACTATCTCGGATGGTTGGGCTGTTTGCAGGAGAAGGAAACCTGGCTAAGGGGTTGGGTGGGTGCAAATCCAGCCTGTATTCAGTTCAACAAGCCTTGCATCCAGGTAGGCTGCAGCCTTCTACCCCCAAAAGAAGGGATACCTTTTTCTAATTCACCCAAACACTTTCCATTGAATAAAAGCAAATTATTTGTGTTAAAACACTAAATCTCTTGTTCTTAGAATGACTATCGGAAGCTCTCCATGCAGTGCAAAGACTTTGTAGTGGGTGTGCTGGATCTCTGCCGAGACTCAGAAGAGGTAGAAGCCATTCTGAATGGAGATCTGGAATCAGCAGAACCTCTGGAGGTACACAGGCACAAAGCTTCATTAAGTCGTGTCAAACTTGCCATTAAGTATGAAGTCAAAAAGGTGAGTGGGCCTACTTTCATCTAGTTTCATATTAGAATAAACATGTAATACAAACTATGCCATAATCCTAGGAAAATTATTAAAATAATAAGACTAGATGCTAGTAGGCTGGGCAACATAGTTAGACCGTGTCTACAAAAAATAAACAAAATTAGCTGGGCATGATGGCATGTGCCTGTAATCCCAGCACTTTGGGAGGCCAAAGCAGGAGGATCACTTGAGGCCAGGTGTTCAAGACCAGCTGGGCAACTTAGCGAGACCCTGTCTCTACTAAAAATTTAAAAATTAGCCAGACATGGTGTCACGTGCCTGTAGTTCCAGCTACTTGGGAGGCTGAGGCGGGAGGATCACTTGAGCCCAGGAGATTTGAAGCTGCAGTGAGCAACGATAGCACCGCTGCACTCCAGCCTGGGCAACAGAGCAAGCAAGTCCTTGTCTCAAAAAATAAAATAAAAAATAGATGCTATTGATAAAAGATTTTTTTGTGGGGGGTAAAGTTGCAAGTTAAATGTGTAGCTTCTGATACTTTCCACTTTTTACCCATGGTGGGACCTTGAATAAGTCATAAATGTGTAAATTTCAGTTCCCTCATGTACAAGGAGGATAATATCTCTTATCTCTCTCAGGGTTTTGGTGGAATTTAAATGGGTTATGATATGCAAAAGCACTCTGTAAACTGTTAATTACAATACAATTAATAATGCTGTTACTCGTATATGTTTTTGTAAGTCACTTTTACATTCTTATGTGAATCCTTGTAGCAAGTCTGTTATTATTCATTTTATCTACAAAATACATCAGTAGATGATGGGGTTTCTATTCTGCAAGAAAACTGAGAATTGCCAAGCTTCAATGATGTGTCTAAGGTCACACAGCTTTGGAGTTGGTCATGCAGGTGCCAGAAATAAAAATTATGATTTTTTACTCTGGTTACTGCAGAAAAACTGTTATGTGTTTCTATTTGCCAACTTGTATGGGACTTTTAAATAATTCATAAAAATTGTAGTTGTAATGTTTCACAATAATCAGTATCTCAGTTATCCAGAATCCACTACTTTATACATGTTATGTAACAGATATTTTGTACTTTAAGAGAAACTGATAAATCACAAAGAAATAATCTGTTATCAGCTCTGGTTTTATGAAGTTGATCAATTTACAAAGAGACAAGTGTTCTGTCTTTTCTGCAGTGTGACATGGTGCTTAAGAGGACAGACACTAGAGCCAACCTGTAAGGATTCAGGTCCCGACACCCATGTGCTCCTGTGTGACCATGGGCAAGTCACCTAACCATCCAGGCCTCCATCTGCTCACTAGTAAAGTGAAGACAATAGTTGTACCTACTTATTCATTTAAGGATTGCATGAGATAATGCATGTAAAGCAATTAGCACACAGTAGTACATGGTGATTGCTCAATAAGTATTAGCTATTAATAATAACATTTCTACATTATGAAAATTCATACCCAGAGTGATGACTCTTAAGCTAGTTAATCCTCAGTCATCAAAGATAGATTTCATGCCCCTTGTACTGAATCAAGTCCTTAGTAAGAGGAATTTATTTAAGCAGGAAGGAATTTAGTGAGTGATATTGAGGAAGCTCACAGAATCCTAAGAAGAGGTACAGGAACAAGCTTATCTAAGCTGTGCTTCCAAAAACCTCACCCAGAACCAGGCACAGCGCTGACCTGCTAAGGGAGTTTCTGTGGCCCAAATGGAACAAATCTGTCTCTGCTGCTCCCATATCAGCACAGAGAGGATGCTCTGAATCCTGCCTGTTTTCATATGGCTCTTTGCACTGGTCAAAATGCCTCTGATCAGTGCACCTAAGCCAATGTTTGCACCCTAGCAGCAAGTGAGGATGGGGAAATCTCTCTCACTCTGTCTCTGTCTCTTTCTCCTCTTTCTCTCTCCCCTCCTGTCTGTCTTTCTCTCTTCTGACACACATACTTCTGCTACCACAATGTAGAAAACTTATACACATAGTATTTGCAAGATTTTGGTCAACCATTAATGGCAGATCTCTCCTCTATTTCATAAGACAGTCAAATGTGAAGATTCTCAGTAAAGATGGAAATAAAACCACTTTTCAAAGAAAGTATGTTACAAGATAATTAAATTGGCTAAATTGCCCTCCGCTCAGAGCGTTCTTGCTAGTTGAGGTTTAGTTATTAATATATTGAGGGAAAAGGATAATTTTGAGCAAGATTGATAGTAAACTGTTTTCCAGAAAACTCTGTGGACATATATTCACACATCCTGCAATATGTATCTCTTTTCTTTGACACCTGAGAGAATTGATTTCAGTAGTCACTGGTTTTTTATCATTGCTTTGAAAGTGTTATATGAGCAGAGAAATCATCTACACTTGTGCTTCTGTCAACTAAACTGCCTTGCAGAGTTTCTTTCTTCCTGCATGTTAACTTTAAATAAATTGGCGTGTAGGTTACAGTGTATGAGGTGTCGTTAATAATAAATTGATACCCAGTCAACCATCAGGCAACCAAAAAAAATATTTAGAACTGTAAGGAGATTCAGGACTTTGCAAACCTTCCTGGTTTTGTTTGTTTTATGCTATAAAAGGAGTATTAATTAGAGTAAAGTCTTTGATTTGGAATCCTCACTCAATAAATGTATGTAAAAATTATATTCTAGAATAATAAATGTACGTAAGAATTCTGTTCTAGAATAATAAATGTGTATAAGAATTATATTCCAGAGTACTTGCAAAGCCCCAATTCCTCCTTTCTTTCTTCCTTTCAAAGGCTTCCTTCATTTTCAGTCAACACTCACCGGTCTTCACTCTCACAAGGAGGAAAAATATCACCCTACCCACTCCTGCTGCTTCCTTTTCCCACCATATCATTTCTAGTCTCCAAGCAAAACCACATCTTGGGTTATAATGATGCATAAACCCTGCCCACTCTGGCACAGAGGTAGTCTATGGCCATATGCAAGTCATTGGGATTTCAAAGTAACTTTATATGGACTCCCCTAACCCCTGATAACATAATAAACTCATATTTATTCAAATCAACCCATAATTCCACCAAGGAAACCATTCCTATCTAATAGTAAGCCATATTGGCCGCATATGAGACTTAGGAAGTCTTTCTTCTACCGACTGCCCAAGACCTACTCCCAGCTTTGGTTCCGAGTCTGTTGTCTTCTAACTGGGCTCAAGATTCCCAGAGCTCTGATCTTTCCTAGAAATCAAAGCATGAGTTCAACCCAGGCCTTACAGAACTCAATGATACTTAATCCAGTAAATGAATATATAAAACACCAGAATAGAAACTATCTGACCATGAATTTAATGTTTATGTCAGAAAGGACTTTCTAATATAAAAGCAAAGGAGTCTCAAAGCAAAAATACAAGTAATCTGGTCACATATAATTTAAAACCTCTGTATGACATCAGAAAGATTATAAACAAAAGAGTGAAGGGCAAACTGGGAAAATTTTTTTTTTATTATAACTCACAAAAGATTGATCTTCTTAATATCTCAAGAACTCAAACAAATTTGTAAGGAAAACATCCAGAGCCCTGTAGAAAAATTAGCACAAGGTTTGAATAGGCATGTCATAGAAGAGAAAATTCAAATGACTAACATCCGTATTTAAAATTTTCAGACCTTCTAGTGATAAACGTATGCTAATGTACAAATACCATTTTCCTTGTCTCAAACTAACAAAGAATAAAAATTTATAATTCTCAGTGCTGATAGTAAAACAGCAACCATCTGCCTGCATCTTTACTAACAGGGAATGGATTTTGGAGATTATTCATCCTAAAATCTTTTTTTTTTTTTTTTGAGATGGAGTCTCACTGTCACCCACACTTGAGTGCAGTGGTGAGATCTCGGCTCACTGCAACCTCCACCTCCCAGGTTCAAGTAATTTTCCTGCCTCAGCCTCCCGAGTAGCTGGGATTACAGGTGCCCATCACCATGCCTGGCTAATTTTTGTATTTTTAGTAGAGATGGGGTTTTACCATGTTGGCCAGGCTGGTCTTAAAATCCTGACCTCAAGTGATCCGCTCACCTCAGCCTCTCAGAGTGCTAGGATTACAGGTGTGAGCCACTGCGTCCAGCCTAAAATCATTTTTAAGGGATCTCTAAGGTAAATTATAAAGCTGGAAGGATAGTAAACGCTATTGCTATTTATAGAAATACCTATATTATTCTTTGAAAAGAGAATGGAATAGACTGGAAGGTGAAATTTGATTTTCTGAAAATGGGTACAGGAAAATTAATTTTTAGGCAAAAACACTAATTTTGTTTAATTAGAATAATGGACTGTTTGCCCCTTCCAAAAAGTCTTGAGTTCTAATTCTGACTCTACCTCTATCCTGCTCTGTGATGTGCAGCTGAACATTAATCCACTCCCCACCATAGAAATAACCAAAGTTCTACCTGCTTCACCATGAGCTATGTCTATTGTGAGAAAGTTTTTGACAAAAGATACTAAAGCTTGGTAGACCACTGAATCTGAAAAACTGGGCTCTCAGAAAGAGAAGGAGAACATTTCCTGAGTTCTTCCTTTCTGTTCTATTAATATTTCCTCCATAGTAGGATTAGCTTTAAATGTAGAAAAGCCATCCTAAAAAGAAACATGCAGCAGTATAAACAGGATAAAAGCATCCATTGTGTATCCACTTTCTGTGCAAAAAGTATACAGGGGAAGCCCAGAATTAAAGAAATGCTAAGAGAGAGTTATAAATATGCCACTGAGACTTTGGAATGGGTGTGCCGGCTGGCACAGTCCTGTGTCCTGTATTGCGTGGCCTCTTGTCCTGGTCTTCCTCAGGCACCAAGAGATAACAGAGCATTTTGCACTCAGCAAGTTTGAAAATCCAGAAAACCTTTGCAGTATAAGTTTTGGGTTTATATTTCACAGTTCACTGAGTTTTAAAAAGAAGTTGAATTGCCTAGTTTTTATTTACAAGAATATTTTCCTTTAAATTGTATGAATTGTGGCTCTAACAGTATCATTAAAAACAAATCCAGAGTTCCTACCATGTTTTTACACAACAGTATTCCCATGAAGACAGTTCTTGTGAAGACTGATTTGATGCAAAACAGTGTAACATTAATTAATTTTTAAATTTGATTGTTTTCCCTAACCTGCCCTGATCAGTGGTTCAGTTTATAATCTATTAGTCATTTGGCAAGAAAAAAACATTTCATTTGTTCTCAATGCTGATTTTCCAATTGAAAGATTGAGATTTTCTTGTGTCAAGCATTCTCTCTTTAAATCAGAAAACTCAAAATAAGGGTATTATTTTTGTGATAACTTCAATTTGCTGGTCCACTGAAGTTAGAAAACAGCATACAAATGTTATCCAGTTGGGTGTAACTGGTGTAGTGGCATAAGGAGATTTTTCAGGAGGTAAAACACTTTTCAGGTATAAAGGTCACTGCCCTATTTCGAAGTCATTGAAAAGACCAAAACTCATCTCCTAAAGGGATTAGCTTTTTTGCCTTCGCTTGCTATTATTGTACTGACTTTACTTTCTTTTTTGAAATGCTCCTTGTGTACTTGCATTAGGATTTTAAATCATTGGAGGAAAATCTGTTTGTGTGGATTAAATGAAATCAACAGAATCCATGAAGTGGTGTATAATTATCTCAAAAAAAAAAAAAAAAAAAAAAGAGTAGAATTAGTAGCATAGTAGATAGACCTGTTAAGCTGAATTTTAAAGTGTAACAGGCAAAATGCAAAGACCACAATTTTGGTTACTACTTAATGTAGAGTAAGGGTTTGCACTGTTGTACAGGTTACATCAAGTCAAAGACTGACCATCACATATATGCCATATGGAAAGGATTGAGTCTATCAAGTCTTTGAAGCTGTGCAATCTTTATAAATATGTAATTAATGCCATAAAGCACATCTTCAAATTTAAAAATTAGTCCAAGAACAAGGAGAAGGAAAGGGAGATATACTATATAACATTAATATTTCTGTCCTCAAGAGTTTAAAACCTAAGAACGACCAGTGCCTTAGTCCACTTGTGTTGTTTTAATAGAATGCTGAGATGGAGAGACTTATACGAACAAAACTTTCTTGTCTCATGGTTCTGGAGGCTGGGAAGTCCAAGATCAAGGCAACAGTGGGTTTGGTAGTCTGGTGAGGGCTGCATCCTCTAGAGGGGAGGAACACTATGTCCTCACATGGTAGAAGAGTAGAAGAGCAAGCTAGTTGAATGCTGCATAAAACCTTTTTTATAAGTGTCTTAATACCATTGACAAAGGAGCAGCCCTCATGGCCTAATCACCTCTTGAAGGCTCCACCTGTTAACTCTACCACATTGACAGCACCTGAATTTTGGAGGAGACACATTCAAATGATAGCTAACCAGATACTCACAAAAGGGAAATTTGTCCATCAATTCCATATAGACACATGTCTACCTGTCTCCTAACTTCATGGGAATTTTGTTTCCTACAGAAACCCTTGGTCTAAAAACTGCGTTGTTGATATCCTAAGTGGTAATCTGATTTGATGACATTATATATTCCACCTGTAGTTTACCCTGAATGAACAATTACCTGTCCCAAGCTTAGCCTGGCTGCAGTCACCAGGGATGCCTTTTATTTATATCTGTCTAACTTCCCTCAAATGCAGATCCTTCAAATATCAAGATGATTGTACCAACATTCAAATTAAGACTATTTTAAATTCTGATTAGGCATCTTGACAAGCATATGAGTTGAAGCCTCCGTTATAATAGCTTATTTTGTGTCTATTCAAAGCTTACTGTGTACCCTAGAACAATGACCTCTTATCACTTAATTCAACTCTGATGCTTCCATTTTTATCTTCTTGTACCAATATACTTGCCCAATATACTTGCCAAATATACTGCCTGGATCTGGATCATACTGTCCCTGCCTGGATCATAGGAGGGGCTTAAGACATTTTGATGAGTGAATAAATGAATGAATGAATAAAGGACATTAGGGACCATAGAGGGAGAGGTGAAGCAGGAAGGAAATGATCTAAATACAGTACAGGGGCAGAAGTGGAAGTTTGGAGAAGTTCTCAACAAGAATCCTAGGAAGTTGTCACATATACCCAGGAAGCCTCAACTTTGATTATATTCATGAGTTCAAATAATGATTGCATTGGTCTGTGAAATGCTGTTTTCAAAATTACAACCTTGGAAAAGTGACAAAATCTTGGGTTTGGAGAGAAGATCTAATATATCCTTAGCAACTAGCAGCTCCTGAAAATCAGGACCTGGGATTTTGAAAACTGAATGGAAAGGAACTCGCATGATAAAATATGCTTCTTAGTTCAGGCTGCTGTAACTAAGTACCATAGGCTAGGTGGTTTATAAACAACAGAAATTTATTTCTCGGCCAGGTGCAGTGGCTCATGCCTGTAATCCCAGCACTTTGAGAGGCTAAGGCAGGCGGATCATGAGGTTGAGAGTTCGAGACCAGCCTGACTGCCATGGAGAAACTCCATCTCTACTAAAAATACAAAAAATTAGCCAAGCATGGTTGCACATACCTGTAATCTCAGCTACTCGGGAGGCTGAGGTAGGAGAATCGCTTGAACCTGGGAGGCGGAGGTTGCGGTGAGACAAGATTGTGCCATTGCACTCCAGCCCTGGGCAACAAGAGCGAAACTCCATCTCAAAAAAAAAAAAAAAAATTATTTCTTACAGTTCTGGAGGCTGGAAATCCAAAATCAGGATGCCAGCATGGTGAAGATCTGGTGAGGGCTCTCCTCTGGGTTGCAGACTGCTGACTTCTCATAGTATCCTCACATGGTGGAAAGAGAACAAGCTCTCCCACCTCTTCCTGTCAGGGCACCAATCCCATTCATGAAGGCTCCTCCCTCATGATCTAATTACCTCCCGAAAGCCTAGCTTTCTAATACCCATCACACTGAGGCTTAGAATTTCAACATTATAACTCAGTTAATTATCTCAAATCTAATGTTCGTAAATTTATTCTCACCACCTCTGTCCGTGGGTCATTGAGTTCCCCTGTATGGTGGTGCAGAGGCAGCTGCCAGTGCAGCCATCAGTGGACTTCTCCACTGGGTGCACTCTGGGGGCAAAAGCAGGGATTTGGGGGAAATTGCACCTCCATCACCTGTCCTGGGAGATGAGACTTTCTTTTTTAATCAAAATTGTTCATGGGAAACTATGCACCAGTCAATGGAAACCTGTGTGTTTCCTTGTAGGTGGGCTTTGATAAAGAGCCAAATATTAATAACTCTAGGAGTTGCCTGGAGTTACTAAGAATCATCAGGATCATTAACTACAACTTGATTAAAGAGGAACCTTTTGACAAGTAGGAACTGCAGCTACTTTCTTTGTTTCTCAGTTCCCAAAAACATTTCATGGGTGTTTCTTAACAGGTTCATTATTACTGTTTATTCTATTTTTTAGAAGACAGTGATACTTTGATTTTTGTGTTACTAAGAACTCCTTTAAAAAATATGTTGTCACTCATAGTTGATTTTTGAATTCCTGAGCTTGGACAAAGAACATATGGCCATTCATAAAAAGGCATATCTGGCTACAAATGGGCAGATTTTGGCATAAGGACCTTTACATGGGCCTGACTACAAATACATTCTGCTTCTTGAATAATGACAGGGCTTTAAAGAAATCCCAGTCCCTCTAAATGATGCAGGCAGATAACCTAACAAAATCAAATGGGAAAAAATCAAATGACTGGGCTGAAACAAGTATAATTTGCTCATTTTTCCTGATTAGAATTTTATTTATTAAAGAACTGCTGAAGATAAATAGTCGTGATATTTTGACCTTTTGATAAAGGAAGCAATAAAAAAGAGGACAGGAGGGAAGTGACATTTGATGTCAGTTCCTGGAAGAAGTGCATGTGTAGACCCAGCATAATATTTGCAGGTTCATTGATTATTTTTCAGACCTTTTACAGATTTGCAGTAATAGTACATCATTACACAAAGGGCGCATCATGCATATTTTTTTTATATGTAGCATTTTAGGGGTTGCTCACGAAACTTCACACATTTCTCTTTTAGCTATAGTCTACAATAAACCAAGTAACTTTTTTTCTTTTCCATTTTGAACTGAATGCAAGTAAGCTGGCCAACCGCAAGATGGGACACATTTTTACAAAAGAAGCCAGATGTCACCCAGATTCCACAGAGAAATCTGTGAATCATGGAGGGTTTCTATCAAAAAGAACTATGATTAAGGACACCACCAATTTTATCCTCTCATTTCCATTCTAGTTCTTCTATTAGTTCTAAAATAATTTTGAAAAATGGAGGGAAAGCAAAGAAGAATATTACTAGAACCTTCCAGTACCAATATGCTAGAAAAATATGCTTTAATGTCTTTAGGATGCACGTGTATTTAATAATTGAACTACTGACAATGGTATGGTAACTTACCTTTCTTTCCCCTTCTCAAACTCTCTCTCTCCCAACAGTTTGTGGCTCATCCCAACTGCCAGCAGCAGCTCTTGACAATCTGGTATGAGAACCTCTCAGGCCTAAGGGAGCAGACCATAGCGATCAAGTGTCTCGTTGTGCTGGTCGTGGCCCTGGGCCTTCCATTCCTTGCTATTGGCTACTGGATTGCACCTTGCAGCAGGGTACTCGCTTTCTACATCTATTTCCTCTCTAGTGGTGTACTGTGTCTCTTTGGGATAAAAAAAGAAAAAGCTTCATGCTTAAGACTCTTATCAGTTTTACCCTGAATGTTAATTGACTCAAGAACACAAATTCTCTTTTTTAATTACTGGATCAATTCAAATAAGGGATGAAAAAGGATTCAGTACCAGTGGGATAGATCACATTTGTAGGCATAAAGTACTTAGGCTCTTTTCAGATAAAATCCTCATGGTAGACAGAGAAGGAAAAGGTGCTTGAATGAAGTAGCACTTGTACTGATTTTATTGACAGCTTAATAAGTAGAGTGTCAGCTGGGTTGGCCTGTGAACAGACCAGGGAATGGAGAGCACTACAGCAGTAGTACCAAGAAGCAGTTACACTGGGAACTAGAAGGGCAACCCATTTGGACCTGTCAGAAGAAATCCAAGGTTGAGTGTGTGAAGCACAGTTGAGAACAGTGGTGGTATCCAAAGTCTTCAAGAAAATGCATGTCAGGTTCCCCTAGCCCTGTGTTAATTCAGACAGTTCTTAAAAATGTAGGATTTAGGTTCAGGGATTTTAAGTTTTTTAAGATTGTTTATTGTTTTTGCTTGGATCATTTTGGTTAGTACCTTTATTCTCCTCTCAACTTTCCAATGTAAGATCAATTTAGTTGTGCCCAAGAGATCCCCTAGCAAGATGCAGAAAGGAATACTATTCATGCCAGTTATGGGCACTGCCAGAGAGAAGGAGCTCCGCTGAGATCCTTTAATCCTGTTTTTACATTCTGAAATTTGGTTTTGTTTAAATCAGAGGTAGTTTCAAGGCAAAATGAGTCAAGGGCACTTACAAGTGATCCTGGAAATCTGTCATCTCTCTGGCTCAGCAATCTACCCCAGCAGAGTTCTGCTCTGCAAACACCATATACGTGTGAGAACGTTCATCCATCTCACTTCATCATTGAGTTGCCCATGCACGTGAAGGCAGAACGTTTGTCATTTTGATCGTATTTGATGACTCAGCCAAGTTCTTTTGTTACATGTCATGGAAAATTACTTTAAGATTCTTCAAATACGTAAACACTAAAGATGAAAAACTATAAATAATATGAGAGGGCATGCAATAAAACAAAAATCATATCTTACCCAAATAATTTTCCTTTCTGAAGGAAATGAGTTGGAATGTTCGGGTTTAGAAGTGTTTGTCTCTAGGGGAACTTAATCAGTTAAAACATTCCATCAGGTTTGAAGTAACCATCTTGGAGTCCACTTCTTTTCTCCCTACACTTTTACAAGTACAACTAACAGTGTGGCGTGCTCTGCAGAGAAGGGAAACATGGAAGTTAAGCCATTCCCAGAGCCCATGTTTAGAGCTGCCATATACCACGTATCTTATGACAAAAAGGCAACATAGCAAGAATTTTCCATGGATATCGCATTTTTGAGATTTGCATTCTGCTTTCTTTTCATGTTATTTAAAGTTCTAAGAGATTGACCTTTAGGAGAAACAGGCTTGATAATTCCCAAGAAATTTCTATGTGCTATGGATAAGCTACCCCCAAACGTGCCCTTTTTGCAGCTGTGTAACAAAGTGATATGTAAATGTGTTGTTTATTTTTCTGTGTCTAATATGGAAAATGTGACTTTTGTGTGCATTCACGTTCAATCCCAAAAATACCTGCCATCTCTTTCATCATTTATTGACATCACATTAAGGTTCTAGACCTACAAAAACATTTGTTCGGAGTTACAGTCCTTTAAATGTGAACCTCAGTACTTTATAAGGTCACAGACGGAGTTAAAAAGCAGGGTCTGAGAGTGTAGAAAAGAACATACTTGATGAATCTACCAAACGTACCTAATTCTTAGACTACGGAGGCCCTTGGGACAGGAGGAATTGTTTTTCATTTTCACAGGAACATGGGATTTTTAAGGACATTATATCATAGGGGATTTTAAAGGAGTCACCTTAAAATAATTATAAACTGAACTTTGGAAGTCCTTTTGTACCATTTACATGATTATCCAACTCAGAGATTACTTTCAATTAAGTTAACCTACTTAGAGGTTTTAATTATTGTGTATCTCCCTCTTCTTATTAAGGCAGTAACAGATGCAATATTCATCTTAGTTCTAATATTTTCTGCCTTTTTTTAATAGCATACCAGGTATAACTTGATTTTGGAATATTTAGAAATGAGAACTAAAATTTACTTCTGTAGTAGTAATTTTTTTAATCTTCAAAGGGTTTTTAATGTCTTATATGAGTCTATGAGAACCTCATAACATCTCAGTTACAAAGCAATAAAGAATCACACAATACAAAGTTGAAGTTTCTTTTTCTAGACCCTAAAAATCTGGACTTTGCATATTCTTTTGTGTAAAAATAAAAGCAAGAACCGGTATAGGCCCTGTGATTTCCAGAAGTGCATCTATGAATTCAGTCTACCGTAGGACAAATTGGACAGTTAGAAACAATGAATTTTGAAGACTTATTAAATTATTTCTGAAGGAAGCATCCCCCTTAAAAAGAATATTTTTCATAATGTAGAACTTTTTGGAAACAGAAGCAGAATTTTGAGTGTTCTCCTTTCATCAATTTTTTTTTTAATCCTATATTGTAATCTCCACAAGTGAAAGCCAGATTTTCTGAAGCAAACTTTTCCTCTTTGTTTTGTTGCAGCTGGGGAAAATTCTGCGAAGCCCTTTTATGAAGTTTGTAGCACACGCAGCTTCTTTCATCATCTTCCTGGGCCTGCTTGTGTTCAATGCCTCAGACAGGTTCGAAGGCATCACCACGCTGCCCAATATCACGGTTATTGACTATCCCAAACAGATCTTCAGGGTGAAAACCACCCAGTTTACATGGACTGAAATGCTCATTATGGTCTGGGTTCTTGGTAAGCCTTTTATTTATTCTACCAAAAAGTAATTATAGAAATAATTGCCATTTTCTATTGAAAAAAATGTTATTATGTCTTATATGGTGACAACATCACTATTGCAAGATAAGCTAAATAGCAAACTAATCAAATAATTTTCTAGCTAGGTAATGCTAAAAGGTGTCCCCTAACACTAAATAAAATTTTTTATGTATAACACAATCCTAATTACAAATATACCATGTTTCAGAAATCTAATTTCAATTATTGAACAAGATGTAAGTTTTAAAATGTGACTCACTGTGATCAATTATTTAATTGAAATACTTGTGAAATAACCCAATGACTATCAACTGATGACAAATACTTTCTTTGTTGTTTAGTTCCAGAGATTTTAGGAGAGTTTTCATTTTCAGAATGTTTGTTATTAGGTTGAGTGCAAAAGTAACTGTGGCTTTTACTATTTTTAAAATGACAAAAACTTCAGTTGCTTTTGTGCCAACCTATTTCATCTTACAATAACCCATTTTGAATAGCTGTGTTAAAATAAGAATTTGAAGTTATGTGAGGAAAAGAATTTGTTGTGCTCTCTGCTAAGAAATGGAGACTGGAACCAGGTTGTTCATTTCTGATTAATCCAAAGTCATTTTTGTATCTGTTTTATCCAGTGTGAGTCTTGATGTCTTCTTATTTTCTGAGTTAGTAGGTTAGTTCTTCCTCCCATTCACTCCTGTGGCCTCAGCCTAGGTCAAGTAATTATTTTATACATTTTCTTTTAAGCCATTAACTTTTTAAAAATTCTACAATATTTTCCCTTTATGTAGTCAGGACAATTTGTTAAGTTGTACTATTTTGTCCTCTTGTCCCAGAATGGCATTTTCTGCTTTCAGTTTCTTCAGAATGTCCTAGGGCCTCTCACTTAAGGGTTTCGTCTTTTTCAAATAATGTTGCTCACTTTTTAGCATGACATGGAAATGAGAAGAGGGGATAAGAGTGTGATATGAGTATTATTGGTAAACCGTTCTTCTTGTTAAAAATTTTGGGGACTTATTTCTCCAATAATCACTACAGTTTGATAACTAACCATTGTGATTATATAGAACATATTTTCTTCTCCAAAAGTCTTATAGGACAACTTGAAGAACCTTCCTTGCTTATTTTCTTTCCTTCCTTCTCCTCACCCCGCTCCACTACCTCCTCTACATCAATAGAGACGTTTCTGGTGCCACATGTAGACTGCTTCTCCAAATTCTAGTGTTGTGGGGTGAATTATTTTCTTAGCAGGAGCTTCTTCCATTTAACTCCGCACGGGGCCTCAGTGACCATACAGTCAGTCAGTCAATGCTTTGTGATGCCTAGTACTGTGCTTGATGTGTAGGGTATTTTAGAGATACCTGTGGCTTGGTGGTGGACACAGTAATGGCTTCTCGGCCTAGCCTGTAAAATCTGACCTGCACCTTCTGTATTTGTTGTGACAGGAATGATGTGGTCTGAGTGTAAAGAGCTCTGGCTGGAAGGACCTAGGGAATACATTTTGCAGTTGTGGAATGTGCTGGACTTTGGGATGCTCTCCATCTTCATTGCTGCTTTCACAGCCAGATTCCTAGCTTTCCTTCAGGCAACAAAGGCACAACAGTATGTGGACAGTTATGTCCAAGAGAGCGACCTCAGTGAAGTGACACTCCCACCAGAGATACAGTATTTCACTTACGGTAAGTTATTAGCTTCAGGGTCTCCTTAGGTTTCAGGAAAGGTATTGGAACCACATTTTGGAAGGAAATGCCAATGAGAGTATGTTTAGTATAAGAGATGTATTGAATATTTATGGACAGTGGAGAAATCATGAACTTTGGAACCTACAAAACTGGATTCATTTCAAGGCTCTGACCCCCTTTACTGTGTAAACTTGTTCAAGTCAACTTGCTTCACTGTGCCTCAGTTTTCATAGCTATAAAAAGACAATGTTACAAGGTGGAAGAAAATTACCTTTAAGCCTATAAAATAATTACTATTGGGAGACTGTCTTAATTAGGGAAAAAATAGTTTGATAAACTGCTTGATGTGAAAGATAAGTCCCTGAGAGCAGGAGATAGATAATAAAAGTTGCCAAACTGCTCTACAGGCAAAGTGAACAGTAATTCAGCAGAGGCAGGAAGTAGGTCCTAAAGTGACCATGAGAATGTAAGCTCTGGAGAACCAGCAGAAATGTTGGGGGAGGATGTTGTCCTGCTCACATGTCATGGAATGGGGTTCATGTCAAATATCTCTATATTATGAAGAGCAGTGAGACCTCAGCTGACACCCAGTGTGAAAGAACATTGATGCCTTCCTTCCCCTGTACAAACCAATGGTAAGTAATGTTAGCTTCCCTTCTCTTGAGGCCAAATTGAGGAGCCACAGCTAGCAAATTTGTATATAGTTGTAAAATCTGAAATCTGGAAAAGACTTTAGAAAGTGCTGTCTAATCTTCATCTTACAGGTAGGGGAACTCAGGCACAGAGTTTAACTGTGATCTGGTTGTGAAGAATAATTTTTTTGGGTGTAATTAGGGCACATTGTGATGAGTACAAGTAGCATGTTAACGTTATTGAAGGCTGGACTTCCGCTCCAAAATGTAAGATGTAATTAAGCACCTCCGTTATTCTCAGCAAGCAAAGATTTTTATATACTAAGGAGACTTGTTCAAATGAGCACATGATCACCATTTGTAATTAAAGAATTAATTTTAGATTGCATTTTATATATCTTGACTATTTCATAACCTATTTATTTAAATTTATTCATGTATATTTAGTGGCTGTTGTCTGGAAGGGATGGATTCAGGCTTCGCTATCTTCTATATGTATTGTTTTGCTCAAGTTTTTAACCTTTCTAAGTCTGGTTTCTGCATCTCTAAAAAAGAATAATAATATCAAATCCATAGGATCATTGAAAGCAGTGTTTGACACATATTAAATAGTCAAGAAATGTTAATTTTTTAAACTTTTATTTTATATTCAGAGGGTACATGTGCAGGTTTGTTACCTGAGTATATTGCATGATTCTGAGGTTTGGGGCTAGGAATGGCCTCATTACCCGGATACTGAGCATATACCTAATAGATGTTTTTCAACCCTTTCCTCCTCCCTCTAGTAGTTTCCAGTTTCATTGCTGCTATGTTTATGTCCATGAATACCCACTGTTTAGCTTCCACTTATAAGTGAAAACCTGCAGTATTTGGTTTTCTATTCCTGCATTAATTCACTTAGGATAATGGCCTCCAGCTGCATTCATGTTGCTGCAAAGGACATGATTTTTATTCTTTTTTGTAGTTGCATAGTATTCCATGAAGTATATGTACCACATTTTCTTTATCCAATCCACTATTGATGAGCACCTAGGTTGATTCCGTATCTTAGCTATTGTGAATAGTGTTGCAATGAAGATGCAAGTGCATATGTCTTTTGGTAAAACAATATGTTTTATTTTGGATATATACCCACTAATGGAATCGCTGGGTTGAATGGTAGTTCTATTTTAAGTTCTTTGAGAAATCTTCAAAGTGCTTTCCACAGTGGCTGAACTGATCAATAAATGTTAAGTTTTGTTGTTATTGCAGATGTCTGCAATACATCCATTCTTTTGGGAGTGACTCAGTTTGTACAAAATTAACCACATAATACTTCATTGACCTGACAGGTCTGCTGCAGACTTAATAAGTGACCTTGAAAGGGTTTTTAGGGGTCCTCATTCTGAATCTGTATCCAAAATTCTTTTACTTCAGTGGCATTTTACATTTTTCAGGGACAAGTTATATTGCTGAGATATCATATTGTCAGCACCATGGTGATTCAGTGACATTCTCACTCCTCGAAATATTTTATTTGCATAAACTATTGGATGAACTAATTTTCCCACAAAATATGGGAAAGAAGTTACACTCCAGCTGTGCCTATAGGATGACAAAATAACTGGTCAGTAAATTTAATAACTGAAGGGACAAATCAGTCAAGTCAGTTGTTTTGTCATCCTGGAAACAGTCTGTGTCTAACGAAGTGTTTTAACCTCTTCATGTTTTGTATTTTATTCTGTTTCTGCTCAATGTGAAGTCAGCTTAGTATCTTTATAATAGTGTACCCTCCATTGAAAGTAATATAGAGTTTACATTTCTGGTTGAAGATGAAAATAATCCCTGGACAGTTAATTAAATCTAGAGTAGTTTCAACTGAGATGGTAACCACCTACCTACAAGATAGATCCTATTTAAGGTATTTGCTTTGCATAGTTGACAATGAATAGAAAGCTCCATTTTTAATCTCTTTCTCTCTTTTTTTCTAGCTAGAGATAAATGGCTCCCTTCTGACCCTCAGATTATATCTGAAGGCCTTTATGCCATAGCTGTTGTGCTCAGCTTCTCTCGGATTGCGTACATCCTCCCTGCAAATGAGAGCTTTGGCCCCCTGCAGATCTCTCTTGGAAGGACTGTAAAGGACATATTCAAGTTCATGGTCCTCTTTATTATGGTGTTTTTTGCCTTTATGATTGGCATGTTCATACTTTATTCTTACTACCTTGGGGCTAAAGTAAATGCTGCTTTTACCACGTAAGTAAAACATCTTTTTATAAAGGAAAGAGAAATTCTAACCAATCTACAGAAAGCAAAGGAAAAATTTCTCTGATTGTAATAAAGATGTTTTTAAGCACAGAAAATAATCCGTCAAAAACAGTTAGTGCTTGTGTGTGATTACATTGCTCTGAAGGCTCATCTCTGAGCTTAGTGAGAGTTTGACCACAGAATGGGTCAGAACTTGGAAAAACCCTAGACAAAACTGGCTATATTAAGAAAACAGGATAACAGATTTATAATACTGGGTGTCTCTTGCATTATGTATAACATTAAAATTAGTTTCATCATTTTATAGCCAATACTCTTCTTTCAAAAAGGAAGCATCAGCTTTTATTTTAATATATTCATTGATCAGTACAGGGAGTCGTGTAAGAGGAAATTATAGCTAAACATTTTATAGCCCACTATCATGGTAATACCAGTTTCTTCCTTTGGCCATACTGGTTTCTGCACTGGAGACTCACCTCTTCCATGAAGTCTTCCTTGATCAAGTTTCCTTAGTCATTTTCCCTTTAAGTTCCTTCAGCATGGAGACACCCAGATTGTGAGATCTGTTCTCCCCCGGTGGTGTTTGGTTGCCATGGACATAGGGCCCCTGCTGTGTACTGCAGTTCTTCCAGGTGGGGAGGTCATAAACCCTTCCTGCTCTCCCTTTGTTCCCAATAATGCCACTACTGGAAACAAACTATACACTCAGTAAGTACTCTATAGACCACAGTAGAATATCAAGCCCTTGTAGACATCTCAGTTGTTCTAAAATGAATTTTTTAATAGTTAATATAGAACAGGTCTTGGAGGTGAAAGAGATTTGAAACTCGCTTTATTGTAATGAAGAAAAAAACCTGTTTTGAACCCAGCAGGGAAATGACAAAGAGATCTTGCACACAGTGTGACCCCTGCCCCCATTTTCCTTTTAACTCTATGGTAACTCATTTTATACATTCTATTTTCTTCAGTGTTTTTTCTAGGGATGTGACCATACAATGTAATAGAAAGGACACAGGCTGAAAATCATGCAGACCTGGATTTGAATGCAGTCTCTGCTGTTTTCTAGCTGTGGCTTTTGGTTAAGTTCCTGAACATTTCTCAGTGTCAGTTTCCTTATTTTTAAAATAAGCACAATAAAGTTTAAATAAGGTCGTTGTGACAATTATGTAAGGTGAGTTATATAAAGCCTCTTGCCCACAGTAGGAGCTCAGAACTGCCAGTGTCCTTTCCTTTTTTACTATCCCCCTCTTCCCACACATGCACTCCATATAGATTTGAAGAGAAGCGAGGGGCAGCAAGGTTTGCAAAGGAGCAAGAGGAAGGTGCAGGAGAATTTTGTGACACAGTCAAATAAATGGCAGGAACAAAAAGGTTATGGTTTTTCTTACTCTGCTCTCAGCATCTATGCCATAACATCACACAGCCAAATGTTTTGTAATAGAGAGTAACTATACAGGAATAGAGTTCTATTCAGCCCTCCATCCTCAGGGTGTAGCAAAATTTCTAGAACATAATAGATGCTCTGTTAATATTTGTTTTATGAGTGAATGAATAAACTAGTACTAAAACCTACAAATCTATAAAATTCATTGTTATTTAGGATGTGTTATAACAAACTTAAAACGTACTTTTTCACAAATCTTTCTCTGAGAAAGAAAAAGACTTACTTTTGAAGGTGTAATGGAATTTTATGTGTGTAAATCTTTAATTTAATTATTATTAATTTAGTTCACCAGTGATTACAATTTGGTTCTGTGACAAAACCACCCAAATACATGTTGCCAAATATCATTTAATTAAGGGACAAAAGTAGGTAATTAGTCTGGTGAGGGTCTAAGTGCTATTTGTTGTGGTAGAAGAATCAGGAAGTACATTATATAAATTAAGGGAAAAGAACAGGAGTCTTTCATTCTGTTGCCTCCTCTTCATTTCCAGTTAAGTATTTCTAGGTAGGTAATATATTCCTGTGATAAAAAATTTAAATAGAGAGGCATCTACAGGGAAATGCCTGTCCTTCTCCCTACCCTTGGCACAGTCTCTTACTTCTCCTTAGTTCCCAGAGGCAATGGTTACTTTTGAATATTTTCAGAGATGTTTTTATATAAAAAAGAATATAAGTATTTGTATGCCTTTCTTTTTTATTTAAATGATAGAATATTTCACACTTCCTATATCTTATTTTTTCATTTAGTATATCTTTGATATAATTTTATATAAACACACAAAGCTCGATCTGTCTCATTTTCCCACAGTGGCTGCATAGCATTCCATCATATGGATATACCAGAATTATTTAGCCTGTCCCCTATTGATGGGTATTTAGATTACTTTCATTCTTCCCTACTGCAAATGATGCTGCAAGGAATATGTTTTTACATACTTTAAAAAAATTGGTTATATAATTTTAATCCCAACCCTGTTCTACTACAGAAAACCTGATTTAAATTTCTAAATCACATACAAAATCAGACAGCAAATTCCCCTTTTTGTAGGAGAAAGGAGTGGTTATTGTGACTTGACTTCAGCTTTCTCCTGTGGAGTTCAGAGAATTTTCACTTGATGATAACTTCAGAAAAGCTAGGCATTGGCACCATTTAATCACCAGTTCCTGAAAACCTGAGAGAATAATTTTTCTATGAAATGTCATAACAGAGTGGTTATACTCTTGGAGTATATTATGGTGGCATTTTACACCTGTACAGTAATTAGACCCTAACTTGTTTTTTACTTTTCACTCTTAGATATTGAAAACTGTTAACTTACTTACTTTTTACCTTATTTTTTCAACAGTGTAGAAGAAAGTTTCAAGACTTTATTTTGGTCAATATTTGGGTTGTCTGAAGTGACTTCTGTTGTGCTCAAATATGATCACAAATTCATAGAAAATATTGGATACGTTCTTTATGGAATATACAACGTAACTATGGTGGTCGTTTTACTCAACATGCTAATTGCTATGATTAATAGCTCATATCAAGAAATTGAGGTAAATCTGTTTTCTATCCATAGTGTCTATCCTTGTCATCCTATTCTGATAGTATACATCTGCTTCTGTACCCTATGGCTGAGCTCCAGCTCATGTAACAAAGAGGCTTATATCCACACAGAGCCTGGGCCTTTCCCTGTGTTTTCTACCTGGATAGATAGCTATCCACATTCTGGTGTCTTCTAGGTGCACAGCAGGGTTCCCCATGAATTTATTGCTGCTCTGCCTTCTCTCAGGGTATACTTCAGAAGTTTTGAAATAAGTGGCTAGAAAAAGTATTGGCCCTAAGGAAATTACTCTCTTTTCAATTAGCCAGCCCACCATTCTACCTGGTAGAATGACCAGATGTTTGGCAAACACTAATGGTGTTCTTTATCCAGTCAAAATTTTGAGTATTCTAGAAATCTCTTGATTCTTGGTTTTGGATTGGGCTGGGTTTGGTACCTCTCTTCACTGTTGTATATATGTTTTCTTATGTCCTTCACTTTAGTGTTCAGTGTCTTTTTAGTGCTTTGTGGTTTGTTAACTCCACCAAATCTCTATGTATGTTTTAGAAACTCATAATATATAGTGTCCTCAAAGTAGAAGTTTTGGTCCTAATGGCCTTCTAGGCCGTGTGAACTGAGAGAGGCAGCTTCCTCCTAATACGAACCCCCTTCCCTTCATTTCTCCTATCAGTTAGAGTGGTTATCTCCATCACTGTGGGCAGCACAGAGAATGAAAGGAAATGTAAGACAGGATCAGGCTACTCAGGGGCTTATGTGACATTTGGGGACATATGGTAAACACAGAAATACCAAAAAGCAATTCATCTGAGAATCATTTTTTCCCCTTGCCCTTGAAATATAATATGCTGTGTCTACAACCTGGCTTGGATAGGTATAGGTGAGGAAGGAGGATGGGAAATAGGCAACTATTGTCAAACATGCAGAATTGACTGGGTGGGGGACAGAGGGAGGAATTAATCTTTTTATCCTTCCTTGGCACTCTATTTTTCTTGTCTTTTTGCCTTGTTTTTGGATGGTAGACAGGAAGTTCTGGTTAAATTTCAGTGGGTACAGGTAGAGGCATATGAAAGAGAATGAGAATCTTTTATTTGAAAAATGAGAATATTATGTAGGTCTATAGAATATATGTAGATAAATGTGTATAAGTTACCTATGTCAAAAACATAACTTAGATTCATTGTAAAAAATCTATTAGCATCAGTTACTAGAATATTTAGCTTTTAAAATTAGGTTTTTTCTGTTTTGTGACACAGGATGACAGCGATGTAGAATGGAAGTTTGCTCGTTCAAAACTTTGGTTATCCTATTTTGATGATGGAAAAACATTACCTCCACCCTTCAGTCTAGTTCCTAGTCCAAAATCATTTGTTTATTTCATCATGCGAATCATTAACTTCCCCAAATGCAGAAGGAGAAGGCTTCAGAAGGATATAGAAATGGGAATGGGTAACTCAAAGTCCAGGGTAGGTATCGAAAACTTACCAAGACCTTAAAATAAATGTTCTGTCTCTTTTTTTTCTTGTCTTTTGATGTTTGTTCAATAATTTTTATGTGTGAACTTAGAAGATGTCAAAAGTAACTGTCTAGTCCACAGTCTTTCACAGACTAATACTAAATATTTTCATGATGTTTCAAGAAGTCACTGAGTCAAGGCCCTGTTTTGATCAGAACATCATATAAACTGCCAGATCGTAAACAAACAAAAAAGCCTTTAACTTGTTAAAAGTAACCAGAAAAGTTACTGTTAGAAAACACTTTGTTTTTGTGTGTTCTGTGCTTCTCAACTGTTATTCTGAAGTTACATAGTTTAAACTTCCAGCCTTCCTCTTAGTGTATGTATAGTTCACCACCACCATATTCTCCTTTTTTGTAGAAACTTTTTATTTGGCTAAATAATCTTTTTTCCATTAGTGCCATAAAATAGATACAGGCCCAAGAGCATCCTCAAATAATCATAAGTACTCATTTTATAAATAAGCAAGAAACCCTTGAGTTATCCCAGTTGAGTCATAGTTTAATTTTAACAAAGAAGATAATTTTCATGATGGTACTTTGTTATCATGAACTAACTTTCAGAGATAGAATTGGTATAGATAGAAGGATGTGAGTGAACCTAAATAATAGGGAATGAGGCAGACAGGAACAAAGTTATGAAGTATAACTTTTTCTAAAATTGTGAAAATGGTCTGTAGCTATAACATCCTAAAAGCCCACAAGATATCAATGTTATCTCCATAAAGCATATGCCTTCCTGAGTGAAGGTAGATATTTTTTCTCAGTTGAAACTGGGAGAAAAAGCTAAGATTAGTGCAATGTGATTTATTGCTTTTTAAAATTGTTTTGAATCTTCAAGAATTGCATTCTTTAAGAAAGTGACCTTTTAAATCTTTTTTTGTTTGACCTGGATATGGGCTCTTAAGGCTATTGGGTTACAAGTCAGCAATTGGTTGTGACAGCCCATAATTTAAAATAATACCTCATGTATGCAGTGAGAAGCAGTATAACACAAAGAAGAGAGCTTCGGCATTAGACCTGGATTTGAATTGTGACACTTGTGGCTTATTAGCAAGGAACATGGATAAATCACTTCACAACTCTGAGCCTTAATTGTCCACCAATTGTAGACAATTGTCTAACTCTGTAGAGTTGTTGTGAGGATTACATGAGATCTACAAAGTTCCAGCCTCAACAAATATCAGTGCCCTTCCTCATTCACAGTTTACAAAGTGCTTTGCTGTACATTTGAACCTCATGCAACGCTGTGAGGTAGGTATTATCATTATTCCCATTTTATAGATAAGACAATTGAAGCTATTCAGATAACTTGCTTATGCGAGGTCACATAAACTGAGCAGTGTGGGGTAGGTGAAGAATTCAAGTATTTTAGCATCAGATGCCTAGCTCTCTCTGCGGCACCTGGATGCCTCATGCTCAGCACCTGAGTCCACCCTTGGTTACCGGCCCACTTCCTCTCAGCAAGCTGTACCTTCAGCTGTGAGGTAACTGGTCTCTTAAAGGAGTCGGGCTCTAGTTGTCACCCTGGGCAGCTCCTGCTGCTACTGAAATTGACTTTGCTTTGAGGGGTCTTTGTTTTTCTGGGGATTTATTAACTGAGACTTTATTGCAAAAAAGAAGTCTCTCAAATGTGGGAGCTCACAACCCTTGCACTTCACAGAACATACCTTGAATTTTCTTTTTCTAGGCAACAGGTCTCACTGACTTCATTCCTGATACTATCATAATGTAGAAGGGGAAATACTAAACGTTAGGTTGAGAGGAGCACACACAGTAGGCTTGTGGCTACCTAGACCCCTGTAAAGAAAACACAGCCTGTTCACAGGAACGGGAAGGAAGCGTTGCATTTAGGCTGTCCTCTCCTGCCTGTATGGTACCATTAACAGGAAAGAATAGCCTTTCTCAGAGAAGATGCTGGAAATAGAAAGTTGGACACTGATCTCTCAGGAGGCTTGCTCCTCGACTTTCCACTCTTCCCATATCTGGTTAAAAACTGCCACAATAAATAAATAAATTTTTGATTTTATTTTTAAAATTTTGCATACAGACGTTTACATCTCTTTAATATTACTCATATTCATAGATACTCTTCATGTATTGAATGTAGCAGAAATTTGGAGAAATTATATTTTTCTATTTCTCTTTTTTAGAAGAGAGGAAGGAGCCTCGAGAAATCTTTCCTGCTAACCTAGACAGCTAACCTCAGTCAGCAATCAGATACTGGCCTCCAGTGGTTGACTGGAGAATTAACTTTTTGTTAGCTAAGGTTTTCACCAGGCACAATTGTAAGAGAGCAAAGAAAGGTCCTTTCCTATCAGCGCTACTTCCTTCTCTCTTAGCATCCCACACCTTCCTGAGTTACAATGGTGGGAAGTTAGGTGGTGAGGTGAATCATCTCTTCGGCTAGAGGGCCACATCTTGGAATCACACCTTACAGTGGCAGAGCTTGTCCACAGATAAGAAGACCTGCTGATACACGTGCAGAGTAGGTAGTACCTGTGGGTTCCTCTTGTTTCCTGTTCCTACCCACTCAAAAGCTAAACCTTAAAAAGAAAAAGAGAGAAAAGAAAAGGAAACCAAAATTCTTTAGCCCAATTCTCTCCAAAATTGTGAACCTGACTCAGTATAAGGCCAAGATACTTTGGAAGATGGGTTATTTTGGCTAATATTTTAGGGCTGCAAAATACCAAACGGTGCCATCTGAACCTGCAATGTGTTTCTATTCAAGTCTAGGAGAGGAACTTAGACTCAGGAACAGATCAAACTTCTGTGGAACTTGGCCTTCTAGATGCCTTGAGTACATTTTGATAAAGTATGCAAGGTCCCCAGGAAAAATTATGTTTCTTATGAGCCAATTTTTAACATATAATTTCAATTAAATAGTTCTATTACAGTAGTACATTGTGCCAACATTTTGATAAATGTGAGCATATTACTCACAGTAATTTTAACCTTTGGGAATATATTACATCACTTACAAAGCTCAACTTCCACAAAATGTTTCTTGGGAATGTTGACTCCGGAAATGTTATCAAGGAGAATAAATGGATTATATTTTTTATTCCAAATGAATGTATTCTAATTTACTAGGTTAATTGTATTTTTTCCTAGTTAAACCTCTTCACTCAGTCTAACTCAAGAGTTTTTGAATCACACAGTTTTAACAGCATTCTCAATCAGCCAACACGTTATCAGGTAAGCATTCATTAGACGTATCTCTTGATCTGTATGTGATTCCATATATGTCTGCGTGTGTGTTTGTGTGTGTGTCATGAGTTGAATTATATTCTTGAGATATGCCATGAGGATAGCTCAGAACAAAGAAAATGATTCAACACCTGTGAAATTTTTTTAAAAAATTAAAAATAAAAGAAAATAGTATGTTAGTTGGAGGAGACTTTAGAAATCAGAGTCCAAGTCCTTCATTGTTTTTAACTGAGTTCCTCTCACAATATTGAAAGCAAAGTGTTGCTACAATTACCAAATAATGTATAACTTAAACTGGAGAAAGCAGTAGAAGACAGAGTACGTTAGAATGAATAATTCTCCCACAGCAGAAAAACTTGGTTTTTCTCTATGTTTTTCTTTCAGGTGATCCATTTTTTAAATGGATTGTTTGGCTATACTGTTTCATGAGTACTACTTTAAAATATCTTCTGCATTTTGATACTGGATGTGACATTTGAACACTATTCTCCAACTCAGGGGAAGTTATAACCCTTTGTTTTTCATCTAGTTGATCATTTTGATCATCAAGTCTTTGACTTTCTGATGTGTATAAGTTCACAAAAGTGAAGATCAAGGAATTTATAATATATTGGTGATGTCAATTACTGCATATTGTTCTATTCCTTATCCAATTTTTTTAGAAGCAGGAAGCCACAAAATGACTCAGCACACTAATTGTCAGAGTCTTTTTTTTTTTTAAGAAAATTTTTGTAAATTTTACGTATTTGTTTATTTTTGTTATTGATTTTGTCTAACTTTATTTTTAATTGATAAATAATTGTACATATTCATTGTCTACATAGTGATGTTTTGATACATATATAGGGATCAGATCAGGGTAATTAGCATATCTGTCATCTCAGACATCTATCATTTCTTTGTGTTGGTAACATTCAATATCCTCCTTCTAGCTATATGAAACTGTATGATATTAAAATATCATTGTTAACTATGGTCATGCTATAATAGTGTAGAACAGTGGTCCCCAACCTTTTTGGCACCAGGGACCGGTTTTGTGGAAGACAGTTTTTTCACGGATGGGGTGGGGTGATGGTTTCAGGGTGAAAGTGTTCCACCTCAGATCATCAGGCATTAGATTCTCATAAGGAGTGCGCAACCTAGATCCCTAACATGTGCAGTTCATAATGGGTTCACAATAATAGGAGAATCTAATGCTGCTGCTGATCTGACAGGAGGTGGAGCTCAGGCGGTAATGCTCGCTTGCCAGCCTCTCACCTCCTGCTGTGCAACCTGGTTCCTGACAGACCACGGACAGGTGCCAGTCCTTTGCCTAGGGGTTGGGGATTCCTGGTGTAGAACACTAGAACTTATTCCTCCTATCTAGTGGTAATTTTGTTTCCTTTAACAAATCTCTCCATATCCCCCCCACCCCTACCTTTCCCAGTCTCTAGTATCCTCTGTCCTACATTTTACCTCTATGAGATCAACTTTTTTTAGCTTCTGCATATGAGATAGAACATGCGGTGCTTAACTTTATGTTCTTGGCTATTTCACTTAACATAATGTCCTCCAGTTCTATCCATGTTGCTGCAAATGACAGGATTTCAATCTTTTTTATAGAGTCCATTGTGTATATATACCACATTTTTTATACATTCATCTGTTAGACACCTAGGTTGATTTCATATTTTGAATATTGTGAATAGTGCTGCAATAAAACATGTGGGTGCAGTTGTCTCTTTGATAGGATGATTTCTTTTCCTTTAGATAAATTCCCAGGAGTGGGGTTGCTGGATCATACGGTAGCTCTATTTGTAGTTTTTGGAAAATCCTCCATACTGTTCTACATAGTGGTTGTACTAGTTTACATTCCCACCAATAACATTAGAGTTCTCTTTCTCTGCGTTCTTGCCAGCATTTTTTTTTTTTTTTGTCTTTTTGATTGTAGCCATTCTAACTGGAGTGAGATGATATCTCATTGTGGTTTGGTTAATGATGTTGAGCATTTTTTCATCTATTGTTGACCATTTATATGCATTCTTTTGAGAAATGTCTGTTCAGATTATTTGCCCATTTTTAATTGGATTTTTTTTTTTTTTTTTTTTTTTTTTGCTGTTGAGATTATTGAGTTCCTTGTATATTCTGGATATTAATCCCCTGTTGGATGAGCAATTTGCAAATATTTTCTCCCGTTTCGTAGGTTGTCTTTTCACTGTTGTTGTTTCCTTTGTTGTGCAGAAGTCTTTGGTTTGGTATGATTCCATATGTTTATTTTTGCTTTTGTTACTTGTGCTTTTGAGGTCTTGTTCATAAAGCATTTTCCCAGACCAATATCCGGAAGCATTTCTCCTGTGTTTTTTTCTACTAGTTTTATCATTTCAGGTCTTACATTTAGGTCTTTGATCCATTTTGCACTGATTTTTATACAAGGTGAGAAGTGGGAGTCTAGTCTCATTCTTCTGCATATGGATATCCAGTTTTCCCAGCATCCATTACTGAAGAGACTGTCCTTTTCCCAATGAGTGTTTTTGGCATCTTTGTAAAAACTCAGTTGGTTCTAAATACATGGATTAATTCTGAGTTCTTAATTCTGTTCCATAGTTTATGTGTCTGTTTTTTTTTGTTTTTTTGTTTGTTTGTTTGTTTGTTTGTTTTTTGCCAGTACCATGTGGTTTTGGTTTCTACAGCCTAGTAATATATTTTAAGGTCTGATTGTGTGATACTTCCAGTTTTTTTCTTTTTGCTCAGGATTGCTTTGGCTGTTTGGGGTCTTTCATGATTCCCTACAAATTTTAGGATATTTTTCCTGTTTCTGTGAATAATGTCATTGGTATTTTGATAGGAGTTGCATTGAATCTGTAGATTGCTTTGAGCACTATTGTCATTTTAACAGTAGTAATTCTTCTGATCCATGAGCATGGGGTACATTTCCCTTTGTATCCTCTTCAGTTTCTTTCATCAGTGTTTTGTAGTTTTCCTTGAAGAGGTCTTTCATCTCCTTGGTTAATGAATTCCTGGGTATTGTAAATGGCATTGCCTTTTTTGTTTTCTTTTTCACATAGTTTGTTGTTCGTGTATAGAAATGCGACTGATTTTTGTATGTTAATTTTGTATTCTGCAACTTTACTGAATTTGTTTATTAGTTCTAAAAGTTATTTGGTAGAGTCTGTAAGTTTTTCAATGTATGAGATCATGTTGGCTGCAGACAGGGACAATTTGATTTCCTTCTTTCCAATTTGGATACCCTTTCTTTCTTTCTCTTGCCTAATTGTTCTGGCCAGAATGTCCGGTACTATGTTGAATAAGAGTGGTGATAGTGGGCATCCTTTTCTTGTTACAGTTCTAAAAAAGCTTCCAGCTTTTCCCAGTTCAGGAATATGTTAGCTGTGGGTTTGTTATATGCCTTTATTACATTGAGATTCTTTCTTTCTATACCTAATTTATTAAGTTTTTTTTATCATTAAGGAATACTGAATTTTATGAAAAGCTTTTATCATCTGTTGAGATAATCATACAGTTTTTATCCTTCATTCTGTTGATGTGATGCGTGATGTTTATTGGTTTTTGTATGCCGAAACATCCTTGCATTCCTGGGATAAATTCCACTTATCAAGTGGGATTTTGATGTGATTTTGGATTTGATTTATTCGTCTTTTATTGAGAATTTTTACATCTATGTTCATCAAGGATATTGGCCTGTAGTTTTATTGAGTGCTTATTTTGGTATTGGGGTTATACTGGTCTCATAAAGTGAGTTAAGAAGAATTCCTTCTGCTTTAATTTTTCCAAATAGTTTGAGAATAATTGGTATTAATTCTTCTTTAAAGGTTCAGTGGAATTCAGCAGTGAAACCATTTGGTCCTGGACTTTATTATTATTTTTTTAGAAGATGTTTTATGCACTCATTTAATCTTGTTACCTGTTTTTGGTCTGTTTAGATTTTCTATTTCTTCTTCGTTCAATCTTGTAGATTGAATGTGTCCATGATTTTATCTATTTTCCCAGGTTTTCTAATTTATTGGCATATGGTTATTCATAGTAGTCTCTAGTGATCTTTCATATTTCTGTGCTATTCATTGTGATGTCTCCTTTTTCATTTTCTGATTTTACTTATTTGAGCCTTATCTCTCTGTTTTTAAGTTACTCCAGCTAATGGTTTGCCAATTTTGTTTGTCTTTTAAAAAAAAACCTTTGTTTTGTTGATTTTTTGTATTTAGTCTCAATTTTGTTTATTTCTGCTCTAATCTTTATTATTTCTTCTACCAATTTGGGGTTTGATTTGTTCATGCTTTTCTTTCATGCTTTTTTCAAGCATTTTTTATGCTTTTTTTCCCCTTTATGTGCTTCATTAGATTGCTTATTTGAAATCTTTCTAGTTTTTTGATGAATGTTGGCATTTATTGCTATAAACTTGGCGCTTACTCCTGTTTTTGCTGTGTTGTATGGGTGTTGGTTGTATTTCTATTTTCACTCATTTCAAGGAATATTAAAATTTCATTCTTAATTTTTTCCTTGACCCATTGGTCATTCAGGAATATGTTGCTTAATTTTCATGTATTTGCATAGTTTCAAGTGTGCCTTTTGTTATGATGTCTAATGTTATTCCATTGTAGTCAGATAAAATACTTGATATAATTTTGATTTTATTAAGTTCCTGAGACTTGTTTTATGTCCTAACATATGGTCAATCCTAGAGAATGTACCACGTGCTGATTAAAAGAATATATGTTTTGGGGTTGGGTCTGGTAGCTCACACCTGTAATCCTAACACTTTGGGAGGCCAAGGCAGAGGGATTGCTTAAGCTCAGGAGTTTGAGACCAGCCCGAGCAACATGGTGAGACCCCACCTCTACAAAAGTGAAAAAAATTAGCCAGGCATAGTGGCACATGCCTGTAATCCTAGACACTTGGGAAGCTGAGGTAGGAGGATCTCTTGAGCCCACGAAGTTGAGGCTGCAGTGAGCCATGATTGCACAACTGCACTCCAGCCTAGGGGACAGTGTGAG